TTCCCTGACTCATTGCAAAAGGGGTTCAAGGTTGAAATAGAACAGGGTCTCTCAGGGCTAGAAGGGACCAATTCCCATTCCATGCATGAGTCATCCCAGCTTGGCTTGGCTCTGGCCTGGCCTAAAACACTGCCAGGGACAGGGAACTCCCTTCCATGTCAACCCTGGAAGGATGCAGAGAGTTGAGCCCCCGCCCCCCGTGGGTTTGCCCATGTTAAAATACCCAGGGAAGGAGCACAGGGCCAGTTTGGTTTGGCCTGTGTATATGGTTATTCCTACAAATGAACACAGGCAAGGGTGACCCTGGCTGCCTGCATCTGTGGCTGTATGTATCCTACATCTCACACCCCAGAGTCCAGCCATGACCTTTACTTTTCAGAGAGCTACAGGCAAGTGCAGTAGTGAGGAAGTAAATAGGACCAGAAACACATGCCCTCCAGAGAGAGGGAGAGGGAAGCAGGAGGAGGCTGGAAAGGATGTGGTCACATTTTTATGTCTGACCTCAGCTTGATCCCACAGGGGAACTCGGGAACATGAATGGTGCTAGGGTCTGAATGTTTGCTTTCCTCATCCCCAAACTGATATATGGAGATCATAGTAGTATTAGGGGGAGGGAGTCTTTGGGAGGTAATTAGGTCGTGAGATGGAGCCCTCATGATTAGGATGAGTGCCCTATAAGGCACCCATATAAAGAGGCCCTGGAGAGCTCCCTGTCCCATTTCCACCACATGAGGACACAGCGAGAAGGAGATATCTATGAACCAAGAAGCAGGCCCTCACCAGACACTGCACCTGCCGGCTTCCCACTGATCTTGGACTTCCAAGACTCCAGAACTGTGGGCAATAAATGCTTGCTCTTTTAGCCACAAACTAAGACAGACAGCATCCAAGACTTGATCCTTCCTCGGACCCTGGAGATGGGTGAGCTGAGCGTTTGTGAACAGCAGACCAGAGCTGCTCTGAAACTGCTCACCTCCCACCACAGGGCCTGCTGCTGCAGTTCAACACACCACCCACAAGCCATAGGGCCACACTTCGGCTAAACCAGATGCTCCAGATGCCCAGCCGGGACAGCACATCCACAGCCTTTCTAAAGGCACAGATAAACTTAGTAAGATCTGGCAGCCTCTTGGGCCCCCATTTTTAGTAAATTACAAGCAGGATCTCAGCCAGTCTGGAACCTCATAAAAGATGGATGGTGTAGTTGTATAACATCCGTGGCTTTTTACGAACTTCACCCTCCCTTTAAAAAGCTGCGAACTTCAAAGAAAGGAAATCACTCCAGGCATTTTGGTGGTTATAATAAAATGCATTCCCCAGGAACATGGGTTCTATCTCAGTCTCAGTGAAAGAGGCTGGGTGGCCATGTGGGTGCCCATGTGCCTGCCTTCTTGTGGGTGACAGTTTTCATCTCCCTACAACTGATTTATGCCGGGAACTGATAGCCTGTGGCCATGACCTACTTTCCCTTTTACAATACAGTATCCAGGGCTCAGCAGGGCTGTCCCGCTTAAAGAAAACCAAGAGTATAGAAGCTGAACTTGGTAAGCACATGCACCGGGGGTTTCTCTTGACAATATGCTTCATGAAAAATAATAATAATGATGATAATAAAAGCATGCATGTGTGTGCATCCGCATGTGTGTGTGCATGTGTGTTTCCATGGAATTAGGGATCTTTTTAAAGAGCTAACTCCTTAATTATTTAACACTGGAATTTGAGACCTTCTTCTACTGGTTATTGTGTAAAGCAAGTCGGCCTACACAGCATGTGTGGCCTACATCCACCCAGACTGATGCTGTTCAGAAAAAAAAACAAAAAAAGTTGAAAGGAAGATGTGCAGACTTCTGCAGAGAGCATGCCTGAATGGCTGCTTGTTCCACAGGAGTTTCAGCATTCTATGGTCTTGTGTGTGTGTGCGTGTTTTAATTTCCAATTCAGTGACCTAAAATGTCATTGTAGTTTTGAGGTTCTGGAAAGAGTTCATGTGTATGTGAATTGGGTCAGGTAGTAGAATTCAACTCCGGAGAAAATGGCACACACACAGTGGTGGAGCGTGTGAGTTTTCTGTTTCTAGCGGAAAAACCTCCTAGGGAAATGGCGTGAGGGCACGGTCAGGCAACCTGTCTGCAGGGATGTTGGAAAGAGGAGGGTTTGGGATTTAGGTGGAGCCTCAACATAGGCTTTGGCTCAGTACGTCAAATCCTAGACTGTTAGAAAGGACCCTGGGAATCATCTAGGGTAACTGTCTTCAAACTAGGCTATCCAGACCACTGAGGATATGTGAGGACTTTCCATGGAGTGCACAGGCATGGAAAGGGGTCAGAGAATCAACTCCCAAGCATTTCAACTTCTACATGGTCCACCAGCACAGGCCTTCCCAGGTCTCCCTTCAGAACCCCCATGCCCACTTCACAAGTGAAAGACAGGTCTCACTCCCTCTAGGGGACATTGCCCAGAGGGGCACACATCTCCTGGTGCCCATCAAAGGGACCATTCAAGAATGTGTAGTTCCAGGAATAAGACCCTGAGAACAAAGCAAAATATAAACAATATTGAAGGGAGCAGTCAGGTGTCAAAGGACTCTGCATGGCCTTTGACCATCTACCTGGTCATCCATCTCTCACCGCGCTTAGCATTCAGAAATGGCTACAGAGATGCAAAATTAATGGGTTTATTTGAATTGAAAAATGATGTCAGACTTTTTTGACTGAAAGTAAGTCTGAATTGGCTGATTGATTTGACAATGAGGATGGTTTTGCCATTTAGGTTGTAGGATGGACATTTTATATAATTTGAACAAGCAAAATTTGCAGCCCAAGATTTTAGAAGAATTGTTTTTAAAGCACAGATACAAAATAAATTATATTTAGATGCTACTTATAAATGTTTGAGGTGTGTCTTGGGCTGCTGTAATGAAATACTATAGACTAGGTGGCGTAAACAACAGAAATTTATTTTTTCACAGTTCTGGAGGCTAGGGAGTCTAAGATCAACGGGTCATTTTGACCAATTCAGTTCCTAGTGAGGACTCTCTTCCTGGCTTGCAGAAGGTCACCTTCTAACTGTGTCCTCATATGGCAGGGAGAAGTGATATCTTTCTTTCTCCTCTTGTTTTTTTTTTTTTCTTTTTTAAAATTTATTTATTTATTATAAAGATGTGGGGTACAATTCAGGGTTAGGTATACAAACATTGATCATGCAGGTACCCTTGTTCTTTCTCCTCTTATAAAGGCACTATTTCTATCATAAGAGTTCCACCCTCATGACTGAATCTAAACCTAATTACCCTCCAAAAGCCTCACCTCCAAATACCATCACGATAGATGCTAAGGGTTCAACATATGAATTTGGGGAGAGGACACAAAGCATCACATGATGGTTAATAGCTTTTCAACTGTATTTTAGTTTTTTTAAATTTAAAATTGTGGTTTTTTTCATTTTTTAATTTTAGAATTGGGGGTACAAGTGAGGGTTTGCAGGCTGCATGCAGGTGAAGTTTGGGCTTCCAGCTGGCCATCTCTCCCCCGGTAGTGGACTAGGTACTCATCGTGTTGCCACATGTTCCTCTATCCTTTCCCTCTCTCTCTTTGCTGTGCCCCTGGACTGCCAATCCCAACCTTGTGCTAATGTGACTAGTGTTCAGGGCCCACTTATGAGTGAGAATATGCAGTATTCAGTTCATTGTTTCTGTGATAATTTACTTAGTATGATGGTCTCCAACTGAATCCAAGTTGCTGCAAAGGCCATGATTTTGTTCTTTATGGCTACGTAATATTCCATAGTGTATACGTACCACATTTTCTTAATTCAGTCCACTTTCAATAGGCATCTGGGTTGGTTCCATATTTTTGCTATTGTGAATAGTGCAGCAGTAAACATGCGTGTGCAGGTATTTTGTTTTGTTTTGTTTTTTTGTAGAGTGATTTATGTTTCTCAATTTTTAGTTATTTGAGAAGTCGAGCATAACTGTGAAAAGCACTGCTCAGGTATCGTGTTGGAGACATCATAGATGGTAAATAATTACAGAATAAAAAACTAATGAATGAATGCAGATGAGAGGACTGAAGCTGCAGAAGGCACTAAATTTTTTAATAAAACATGAGTGGCACTGAATTGTACATTTCAAAAGCACTAAAAGGGTATATTTTAATTTATGTGTGCTTTACCACAATAAAAAAAATAAATGGCAGATTTGGGTAGTACCCAGGTGTGCTGACTCCAGTGCTCCCTGCTCACCCTCTCCCCATTACTCATCTCTGTTTTGGGCAAATATTGTTTTGGGAGTGTTGCAGTGGGATGCCAGCAGAGCAAGAGACTCCATTGCTAAGAAATGCTAAAGCAAGACATGATCCTAACCAGAGAAGCAGACTAGGGAGGAGAGTCTCTAGGCCTGAGAAATAACAGGGTAAGAGGGTACCAGGACTCTGATCACAGTGCCCAAGTGGGGACATGTCAGGCTTGGATCTGATGGGTATCAAAGTCAGTATCTAAGGCTTAGGTTGGGAGTTTGGAGCAGCAGTGGTGACCCATCAAGTCTGGGATGGGACTTGAGCAAGTACCCTGGGGACAGGGTAACAGAGTCTAGTCACGAGAAGACAGAGCTGGCATGAGTTAGGGCCAACAGTATATCCTAAGATGTAGGTCCTGTGGTTTAGAAGGCCCCATTCTGGCCCTCATCCAGCACCTCCCTATAGAATACAGTCCTTGAACCATGCACATCAGGAGTTACCCCTTCCCAGGTACCTTGTAATTCCCTCTGCAAGGGATAACAAGTCCCACAAATATCAGAGCTAGGCATGGAGGATACATTTTTTCTGAAAGGCAGGACAGATAAGCAGCTGGCCACCTGATCCCTGTCTTGATTCTGATATTAAGAAGGTGTCTGGAGCTCCCTTTCCCCGCCGCTGCTCCACTCCACTTTGTGCCCGCCCGCTGTGCCCAACCAGTCCTTGCCCCTGCCTGGGCCTGCAGAACTCAACCCTTCCCCACCGGCAGACATGTCCCAGACCAGCAGCAATCCCGAGTATGCTTTTTTTTTGGCGGTCATTGGTGCCTCAGCCACCATGGTCTTCAGTGCCCTGGGTGCCGCCTATGGCACAGCCAAGAGCAGCACTAGCATCGCTGCTATGTCTATCATGTGGCCGGAACTGGTCATGAAATCCATCATCCCAGTGGTCATGGCTGGCATCATCACCATCTATGGCCTGGCAGTGGCAGTCCTTATCGTCAACTCCCTGGATGATGGCATCAGCCTCCAGCTGGGCACTGGCCTGATTGTGGGCCTGAGTGGCCTGGCAGCCAGCTTTGCCATCGGCATTGTGGGGGACACCAGTGTGCAGGGCACCACCCAGCTGCCCCGACTATTTGTGGGCATGATCCTGATCCTCATTTTCACCGAGGTGCTCGGCCTCTATGGTCTCATCGTGGCCCTCATCCTCTCCACAAAGTAACCCCTCTCAATCCCACCAGCCACAGAATATGATGTAAAGACCACCACCTCCTCATTCCAGAATGAAGAGCCTAACACACGCAGGGGCGACTGCCCAGTAGTTTGACTTGTAAATGCACGGTGTCCTCGTGCCCATCATCTGTTACCCTGGACTTGCCCCCACCTACCCCATGCCGTGGATATCTGGACCCACTCATCACCCATCCAGGCCCCACCCAGTGAGGACATGGGCCTCTAACCACCCCCACCCATCTGCCCTAGAGTGCTCTGTATATAAGGATAAATTAGAGTTGTCATATTCTCTTCACTAGATGTTTATTTATGAAGATTTGATCTGTTCATACATCTGTGCAGTAGCCCTCGTCTCCCAACTACATAGTAATCTTTAGGTAGAGTGTCACCTTGTGGGGTCCCTTTGGTGAGACTTCCTTGGATGGAAACACCCTCTCCAGCCGGGCTGCCAGGCCTCACACTAGAGCTGTTTCCAATAAAGTTCTCAGATGTTTAAAAAAATGGTGCCTGTAGACGTTTCTCTCCCCTCGTGTGGAGCAACATGGTTAGCACACAGGCTGGCACTTGATCCTAAGCTGACTCCACTGCCCAGATCTTTCCACCTAGATGTTCAACTCCCTAAAGACAATAGAATCCTTCTGTTTCTCTCTCCCAGGGCACAAGACACTTCACACTGAGTTCATGGCATGCATTTGATAAACATTTCTTTGGCATTAACTGTTAGAAGATGCATTTTCTGTGCCTACATAGGAACTGAGTTAATGAGAGTCTCTGGGCTAGTATGGCAAATTTAGGTTGATGCTACTTGGCTGTTCTCTGTTAATATCTCATTATGCAAAATCCCAAGCACATCTTAAATGTGTCATGGCTTATTCTTTTTTTTTTTTTTTTTTGAGTTGGAGTCTCACTCTCGCCCAGACTGGAGTGCAGTGGCTGCTCCCGGCCACTGCAGCCTCGACCTGCTGGGCTCCGGCGATCCTTCCACCTCAGCCTTCCAAGTAGCCAGAATTACAAGCATGCGCTACCACGCCCGGCTGATTTTTTGATTTATTGTAGAGATGAGGTCTCACTGCCCAGGCGGGTCTCGAACCCGAGGGCTCAGGCAATCCACTCACCTCAGCCTCCCAAAGGCGAGGGATTACAGGCTGAGCCACCGAGCCCGGCTGGCTTATTCTTTATAAGTACTAGATGCTTTACAGCATCATTGTTAATCTTCACAACGCCATAAGGTTGACAATATTACTTCCCATTCTGCAGATGAGGGAATCGAGTCTTAGACAATGGGATTGCTCAAAGTCACACAGCAAGTAAATGGCGGAGCTGGAATGAGACCGTAGGCCTAACTGACCCTAAAGACTTCGCCAACATACTTATTGCTTCCATGACTGGTTGTGGGAGGAACATTGATGGTCATCCAGAAAACTAGCCTGAGCTACCCACTGGGTTATTCCAAAGCCAACTTCTTTGGTTCTGCAATTCCCTGGAGTATAGAAGGATGGCCATCTACAAATTGAGCTATGCAAGAAACAAGTAAATTCGCACAGAACTTGGCATAAATCTCTTCTGTGGCTTAAGCAAGAAATATATTTCTGCAAAGTAATTCACAAATCACTAATTTTTAGAAGACTCATAAACAGAAACCACCTTCATCTCCTTTGAACATATTTTCATTGCATATCACCCGGAAGGAGAGGACCTCAGCATTAACCTGAACATCCACACTGTGTGTGAGAGTTTGCACAATATTGATCCTCATTGTTTGCTACATATATTCATAATATCCCCATTTTACAGCAGGGAAAGCAGAGACTTATAGAGAGGACATGGTTTCTCCCAGATCACTTAGCCAAGCAAGTGGCAGAGCTGGGCTGGAAGCCCAGGCCTCAAATCCATACCCCCACTCTGCCTTTACACCACTGGCCTTAGGTTCTACCACTAGGGTGGGCAGTGGCCACAGGATGAAAAGAACAGTACATGTGACCTCTGGACTAGTGGGCAGGGCACTGTGTCACCTTACCTTTCTCCTGGATAGTTAATAACTGGGCTGGTTTCCACCAAAGAGGGATAGTCTCTCCAGAGCAGCCTTTGAGCCCAGCATAGCAGAAGCTCCAATACATAGACACGTATCGAGTGAATGTAGCCGAAGCTGGAGCCCACAGCTGGCTTATGTCATTTTAGAGGGGCCAGTCCCCCCACCGTGGGGGCTTCTGACCATTTATTAGGCAGAGTGAAGAGTAGTCCTGTGCTTCACTCCAGAAATGGGACATTCAAAGGCCAGCTTGTGTGGTGTGTGTGTGTGTGTGTGTGTGTGTGTGTGTGTGTGTGTGTGTGTGTGTGTGTGTATCAGACTTTCACGAAACAGCAGGGGTCCCACCTGGGATGCAGGGGAGGGAACAGATGTCCTGTGTGACCCTCCTTGGCTGCCTGGCGCAGTCCCACAGGCCCCATCTGGGCTCCTAAATCTCAGAATCAGGGCAGCTCAGGACCAGAAAGGACCTTCAAGGTCATCTGGTCCAAATGCCCACTTAGTGGTTGCCTACTCTCTGCTTGAATATCTTGGGTGATGGGGAATTCATTCCCTCCAGGATCAGCCAGGCTGGAAAGTCTCCTGAGAAACATCTGATCTGATCCCCTCATTGTACAGATGGAGACATTTTCAAAACCAGGAAAACAGCTTGCTCCAAGGTCAGCCAGCTAGACCAGCAACAAGAAGACATCTATTTATTGTCTCCTGCACGTCCCACGCTCCGGCCGTACTTCAATTCCCAAAATGAGCCATGCTATTTCACATCTCCATGTCTCTACTCACCCTGTTCCCCTCCCGGAATGCCCTTCACACTGTAGCTTCCCTCTCCCTTCTGCATGGAGAAACACACCTGCCTTTCAAGGTCCCACTCAGGCATTTTCTTTTCCCTACATCTTGCCCGAGAGCTTCCTCCATGACTGGAAATGCTTCCCCTCCTCTGTGCCCCGAGTGTAACCCATGCAGACCTGGGCCAGAACACTTGGCCCTCAGGATTCTACCTATTCCATACTCTGACCACATTCCTCATGTCTGGCACAGCAGTGTTTGTTGAATAAACACACAAATGATTGATTGAATGAATGAACGCTGGATAAGCCAAAAAACACTATTTGTAATTTCCATGAGACCTCGTGGACTCTGTTTCATGTTTATTCTTCTTTCTTCCCCATCTTTCCAATCTCTTTACACAACACAAGTTCCCTCTTGATTTGTATACCTCATACCAAGCTAGATGATTTTCCCAAACCTCCCCGCTGCAAACAGTCCCTCATATTCTTGTATTTTCAGTCTCAAGGCAAATAACATGACCGGTTGTTCCTGCCACTTGAGTGACCTCTCCTCTGGACAAGTCTTCCCACCCCACCCCAACTTGCTGAGTGAATCTGGGTATCTTTTTCTTCTCCAACCTAAGATCAGGGTCCCCATGCAAGTCTCTTCGATTCTGCCTCACTATATCTGAAATCCAGCTCCTGGAGGATAAGGAGAAACATGGGATGCAGGTGTATCACCTGTATGTCCTTATTTTCTCCTAGAAGGATAAAGGTATGAGGGGGCATGGAATGAGCTGAGGGACCAGACAGACCTTGTCTTTGTCCTGGATAGATTTATCCTAGGAGGATGTAGATTGCAACTGGCAGAGAGCTGATGGAAACATATGACTCCAGCTCATTCACATGTGATGCAGCCTGGCTGAGTTGTCACCTATGCTCTCTTCCAGGTGATGCATAATTACTCTCATCTGTTGGTGGTGTTCAGATCTGAGCCCTATTTGGGATGGTGGGTGTTACACACTCACGTGTGTGGGATAAATACCATCTGAAATATCACGTGGCTATCATACTTCTCATGGATGTCACATACCCAAGGAAATGGTTCAAACACCACATGGTTATTACACACTCACATGAGTGTGACACACACTCGTGCAGATGTGTCTGCCTCCCTGGAAAGATCTGCAGTTTTCTCTTCTAATGAGCATTGCTTGTTGCTTCCCACCTTCTTCCTGGAGAAAGTTGCATCTTCCCTGCCTCCCCTCTATTTTCAAGAAAACGTTTACATACCATGAAATACAGCATTTTAACCTTTTTAAAGTGTTCAAAAAAAAAAAATGTTCAATTCAATGGCTCTTAGTACATTCACGATGTTCTTCAGTCATTACCACTATCTAGTTGCAGAACATTTTCATCACCCCCAAAGGAGACCCCATACCCATTAAGCTCTCACTCTCCTTAAACTCCGAAGTGATATCCAGGTAATAGGGAGGCATAGAGGGATTTCTGGTCTATACAAGTGCCAACAACGCCAAGAGTGTCTCAGAGGAGAAAAGCAAGGACCTCATATGGGGAATACTGTCCCTGTCATCTCTGTAAGTTCAAGCCCGTTGCACCTTCAAGTCCCTATTCAAAGTCCCCGCCTCCCTACTAGGTCTCACCCTCTCCCTTCTCTCCTTCACCAGTGAGAAGCAACCTCTGACTCCTCCTAGCTCCCAGAGCATTGTATATGCAACTTTCCTAGAGCCCAGCAGGTAAGGGCACAGACATGCCTTACCCAGATCTGGCCTTCAATCCTGAGTTGGCCTCTTACTAACTGAATCTTTAGGCAAATTACCTAATCCTTTTGTGCTCTGGTTTCTGTACCTATAAAATGATAAAGGAAAAATCAATAAAAACACCTGTCAAATTGGGTTGTAATGTGACTTCTACAAAGTCATATATGCAAAGCCCTTAGAACACTGCCTGACTGTACCGTGGCCCACGGTACTCCCCACCTGTTCCTGGGTGCTCCGTAACCGCGTGGTCTGGAGGGCAGGGATGCTTTGAAAAAAAATGCTTGAATGAGCTCAAGAGCATCCAGGTGTCCCTGGCTTCACAGTCAGCCCAGATCCTCACTCCCATTTGTCCAGACATTTAAAATGGTCAAGAGAACTGGGTCTCATTGTCACACTCAATCAATGCAAATGTGCTGTGGAAATTGCTAAACTCTCCACTGAGCTGGAGGGAAAAGCACTGAAGAGACTGA